CTATTCGCTCCGACGAAGGGCTAACGCTCGAAACGTCAGCTTTTGTAATCATTACGGTGGCCAATTTACCATTTCAACTTTGTTGATATATCCAAATTATTAGGTCCCCAGTAGCTTCGAGTATACTTTTGCTTAATTTATCCAGAAATATTCGCGATTTTTTTTCAATTACAGCGCTTTGTAATTTTTAGCTTTGCTAAGTACTTGGAAATCTAAGAACTAGCAGGGGCTATAGCTCCTGAAGCGGGGAGAAATTAAGACCTAAATTTTGACAGCTCCGCGACTAAATCTTCGCCCCTCTTTGTTTTTCGTTTTCCTTTATTTTTGTTTTGTTTTTTTCTTCTAAGATTGAAAATTTGAAACTCCAACTTAGAATAAAGCGAGCAATATCATGAATAGTATGAAATACTCCCTTAACCAAAGAACAAAGCGCTTTTCGATCTAGTGTCTTAGATGAAAGCCAGACCCAAATTTCTGTAGCCAGCGAGTCAGAACCAAGACGCGGATCGCAAACCTAAAAGAGAGCGCGCGTAAGCGGCCTGAAATACGGAAAAATGCGAGTAGTTTCGATTTTAAACCAATCACCGAACGAACTAAAGCAAAGTTAATGTCATCTCGAATTACTAAATGCTCCAATTTGAAATTAAAGTAGCCCTATCAGCTTACCTGCGGGATTTGTGGCATCAATTTTTGGCGCGTCTTCACTGAGCCGAAATCCTTCGGTTGTTGACTGCAGATAGGCTTTAAGAAAAAGAGTCGGGGCCAGAGTAGGCTCGCCATAATATGCCACCTGAAGTTATAATCGTGGAGGTTGATACGCAGGTAAGGGAAAGTCCTGCTTATTTTTTTTTTCAATAATTTAATTGGATATAGTTCTGAAAATATTATATTTTGCCACGAGCATAATCTATGCTATTGAAGCTGGAAACTGTGCTGTATAGTTGGAATGTGTGTGTGTATCTAGAGGGGAGGGGAGGGTGGTTGTGGAAATCCAATGAAAAGAGAGGTGTCCGTTGTCATGGTCTCACGGGCAGGGTTTGCACTTAAATTGAATCCCAAGGCGGAACCACCGTTAGATGAATGTGACATATTATGTGAAGAAAGGGAATGGAGTGAAGGGGGAGGTTAATGGAAATACCATGTAAGAGAGACTTCCGACGTAAAGGTCTTATGGACAGGGTTTACACTTAATTGGACCCCCTTGGAGGAACAACCTTAGGACGAATGTCAAGTGGTAGTCCCCCCACTCCTCTCCTTCGACCTCGTTTTCAAGGTTGGTGTGCTCACCTGACCATCATACATAAAGATGATCTTGTGAAAAAGATGGAAGATTTCCAGCCTGGGCTGATGTATGGTGAGAATAACAAGTCTGCCGGACTCAGCAACAAGATTGAGATGATTCAACAGCTCCAGGGAAGATGATGCGTCCAGACCTGAATTAAAAACGTGTACGTTAATTTGAGCATTCTTCAATTAAAACAGAGTTAAATGATTCGATAGTATTGTGATAGCGATCATCATAATTACAACACGAGATCCAGGGACAATGTTCGTGGGACTGCCTTTAACAGGAGCTGGGGTCTCTCGACCTCCTCGTAGCGGCCAACGATGGAAATAATTTGCATAAATCAGTCAAGGAGTTATCGATATTGAAAATGGACCATCCTCAGACTGCGCCTAATCTTTAAAATATGAATTTATTCATTAAAATAACTAAGATTTGAACACATATTTAAATACGCTACAAAAAAAATCTGAAAGTTGTGACTAAACAACATGCCTGAGGTTGGTTCATCAAGGAAAAGCACAGATGGCAAATTTATCATCTGAAGAGCGACACACAATCGACGTTTCTGTCCTCCACTAAGACCCTGGCCAACAGACCCACCAACAACTGTATCAGCCAAAGAAGTAAGACCGATCTGTATCAGATAAGATGTGGAGTTTATAGCAAGTATAACTACCGCAAATGACACGCAACCGGGAGTGGGTTGGGGAGAGTGGGGATGGATTTTTTTTGAGTTGTGGGATTATTGTTGTGTGAGGACAAAATTTACTTGATTCCCACATCAGGCTCTGTAGTTTTTCAATGATATACTCCTGACTGTGTCCTAAGTCGGCCACTAGTGCACAAAATCGGACGCTGGTGTCTAAAATCGTACACTTGCGTGTAAAATCGCACACTTGTGTCTAAAATCGCAAACTTGCTTGTAAAATCGCACACTTGTGTCTAAAATCGCACACTAGTGTCTAAAATCGCACACTTGTGTCTAAAGTCGGACACGAGTGTCTAAAATTGGACATCATAGTCCAAAGTCGAAGTAGGATTTGGCGAGGAGAAGCAGAAAACGAGGAATGAGCAACTGGGAACATAGGGCCTCCATTATTTCTTTAATATTTTCTTATCATTTGTAAATAGCAAGAATTTAATACCTCAGCAAGTATCTGTTCAACGCGTTCAAACTTCTTTGCGTTGCTCATTGACTTAGGCAGCCGCATGTGAGCAGCGAAAAGAAGATTCTGCCGCACAGTGAGTTCTTCATAGTAAGGCACAGCCAGCTGTAACACGTAACCAATTTTACGAGCATACCATTTGTGCACATTACCAAGACTTCTAGGAACTCCATTTATAAACACCGCACCCTGCGAATGAAGACAACGTCGTTAGGCTTGATCAAGGTCTGAAGGTATACAGGGGCAATTGCTTAACTATTAATGAAGCAGCAAGGCGAATGTACACTCCTTATTACAGCCATTGAAGTAAACCGGAAAGAACTCACGCACAAACATATTTAATTGTTTCCAATTGCATATAGGATTTGCACGAGTGGCCTTCACGACTGTAAGAATAAATAGCATCACAAATTTTTTGGCCAGAGAGCTGGACCTCCTCTGGAGGACTGCCTTAATTGGCTTCCCGTTAAAGCTCTACTTTTTCCTTCTTAATAATTTGAATATATCAACAAAGTTGAAATGGTAAATTGGCCACCGTTATGATTATAAAAGTTGACGTTTCGAGTGTTAGCCCTTCGTCGGAGCGAATTAGAGGAATTGTGGGTTGTGTGTGCTCGTGCAAGAACGCATTTAAAAGTGCCTGGTTGGTCATTAGTCTGGAAAGAACTTCTGACCAAAAAATTGCCTATGTTTTTGTCGCGTTTGAATGAAATGAGATAGTGCTTGTCTCTGGATCGTTTTGAAGTAATTTAAAGTTTTTAAGAACGATGGATTTAAGTTAACTGAGTGGCTGCGAGGGTGAAACGTGAGAGTGAATGGAATGCGGTCGGAATCTTCCTTTTGTGACGTTTGTAGTGCTGAATGTCGATCGATAAGTTAGGCGCGGTGGTAACCCGCTTGAACGACAGAATAAGGGTAACCACGTTTATCGAAAAACTAGCACTTTGACTCTGATTTGTGGTGGAAATCAGAGTCATCCCTACATAAACGACGAAGTCTTAGAAACTGAGAAAAAGGAATGGAATCCTTAACGTGAGATGGATGCGAAGACGAATACAACAAGTAATTTTGCGAGTCTGTAGGTTTGTAATACACACTAGTGCATAAAGCGTTGCCTTCAATTGAAACTTTGATGTCTAAAAAGGATAAAGAATTGTCAGAAATTTCCCAGGTATATTTCAGAGAGCCGGGTGAAAAGAATTCTGCGGTTATGAATTGAGTAAGCTCCTCTCTGGTAGGGGAGGTGGCGCTGATACAGTCGTCGATGTAGCGACCATAGAGTTCAAGTTTGGAGCCATTGTATTGGCTGAAAAATTGGTGTTCGACAAAACCAAGAAAAAGATTGGCATAGCTAGGTCCCATTTTGGTACCCATGGCTACACCATTGGTTTGTTTGAAAAAGTTGTCCCCGAATGAAAAACAATTGAGTGTGAGCACTAGTTCGGCTAAGCGTAGTAGTGTTTCAGATTTAGGTTCCTTAACAGTACGTTGATCAAAAAAATGTTTAAGGGCCAGAAGACCTTCGCCATTAGGAATGACAGTGTAAAGAGACGTAATATCCATGGTGAAAAGAAGTTTGTTTTGGCCAAGGAAATTAAAGTCGCGAAAAATTTGAAGAGCGTGTTGGCTGTCTTTAATATAACAAGTTNGTCAGTCAGTCAGTCAGTCAGTCCGTCCGTCGGTCAGCCAGTCAACTGGCCGGTCAGTTGATCTGTCAATCAATCAATCAATCAATCAATCAATCAATCAGCCCTTTAAACAGTCAACAGTTAATCCACCAGTCACTCAGTGAGTGTGTCTGTGGGTTTGTTTGTTCCCTCTGACAATCCCGTCTAAAATAATTGTCCTAGGTCAAATATCGTTGGCAATTCAAAGCTGATTTGTCCTAGCTAAGATTGTCACTAACCCCAGGTCTCACCTTTCTTTTTCTTTGTTTTCCTCTCGCGTACGTCGACGGAGTAGCTGAGTGCCAAACACGCGATACTGATTGCATCAGCGGGTTGTGCCGGAGGCAGCTGGTACAAAAAGGCACACAAAAAGTACATTCAAGAAAAACGTTTTAAATGTACAATTATTGCAAGCGAATCACAGATGAAAATCAGTATCCTAGGGTGTCTCTGAAACAGTCCTTCATATTTCTGGTCGGTTGGACTACCGCTGGGAGCCACAGAAAGCTTGTGTTCATTATACAAAGTTATAAATGGCACTGACCAATCGCAAAAATAGAGATATAATGAGGAAGTAAGTGTTTGTTAAAGACCGCATCGCGGTAAAGCATGAATGAATAGGTCGTGATGCAGTTTTTGATTTTGATTGACTTTGATTGATTTTTGATTGATTTTGATTGAAAGAGGAAGGCGCAATTTTTCCACGCCCATTATAAAGTACGCTGGAGACGCGAGGGCCCTATTATCAGTGCGCTCGAATCCGAGACTCCTCGAGACCTGGTTAGGTTAGTGTGTTGTGTTCTTGGGTGAAGTGGGAAATTGTCAGGGCTGATAAAATGCTAGGGGATATCCTTGCAATGGACTAACTTCCCATCTAGGGAGGAGTACTGACGCTACCTGTCTCTTCACGCTAAGGAAATCAGATTAAGCTGGTGAGCCACTTGGCTGGAAAACAGACTGTACCTTTTACCTTATCACGTGTACACGCTATCTAAGACTGCTTAAAAACATTGGGCCCCGTCCCTTGCATCTTCTTTGTACTTGTTAGCAGGGGACATTAAAGAACTCACACACTCGCAAAGAGTTGGGAACGTAGCTCCCAGTGTTGTGCTGTGTTGTGTTGTTCGCCTTGATTCTGAAATTGGGGGCATCTGCAAAAATCTCCGTAAAAAAATTGTTAATTGCTCAATGCAGTCTGGCCAAAGTCCCCCGCAAAGTGTTGTAAAGCGCCATGAGCGACAGGATATGGCGCTAAAGAAATCCTCATTATTGCTACTATTATTATTATTATTATTATTATTATTATTATTATTATTATTATTATCATTACTATTAAGAAATCAAATAAAATACTGCTTCATTGCTCACCTCTTTGTGTACCTCTACAGTTTCAGTTTCAGTCAAGTACTGCTTTTGTTTTTTTGACAGGTAATACTGATATAGCATGAATACGGCCTTCAAACCAAAGCACGTGACTGTGATAAGCAGGGACAGAATGATAATGCAAGTCTTGACTACCTCGACCCAGTTCACCGCTGGATCTATAAAAAACAACTGCTTGGGACACGTAGGGTTACACTGAGCACCGATACAGCTGTCAGTCACTTTCATGGAACCGTCAGGTGATTTCACCCACGTCGTCACGAAATCTCTGATGCTGATCTTCTTAGAACCTATCGGGATTTTTGTTTTCTCCCAGTATTCCCTTTGCACTGTGTTCCTAAACAAGTTTGTGTAACAAACCAGTGCAAACAAAAATATAAATAACTGCAGAGACTTTCAAAATTTCAGAGAATGGAGCACGACAAAAATTTAGGCTTCGATCGGGCTCCAGCAGCCCCCCAGATGCCATTTACACGCCACCATTACCAATTCAGTGACGAGGCCACGTTTTGGAAGCGAGGCAAATTTTAGAGGGTTTCTTTGTTTATCGTAAAGTGATCTGATCACAAATGACCCCCGAAGTTTCCCTCCCTCCCAAAATGTGACGACATGGCTCAGTTTGCAATGCCTCTTATGCAGTTGTATTAACCGCATATCCCTAGCCTGCAATACAGGTGGGTTGGCGAGGCCGAAGAAGAATCCACGAGCGCGTGCATGAAGTGCGAGGCAAAGAAAATTCCCTTGTGCGTGACTCGCACTTCGCGCTGCCTCTTACTTGCCTCCGTTCGACTGAAAAACGCAAAAATTACGCCTGTTTATTTAGGCTGGTATTTTACATGCGTTCCGTGTTACTTGCAATCATTTAAGGGTCAAAATATGATTTATTTCATTGTGATGGAAAAACATGTCAAATGTTTTTATATGATCTTGATTGGTTCTTACTTATGATCTGTTGGAGGACAGACGCCTAGATGACGTCACTATCAAGAACACAGTGCTTTTTTATCACGTAAAAAAATATAGACTTCATGTTGCCATGGGTCTATACAGTAATATATCACAGATGACGTAAATATGTGGTAAGAACAAGGAAGTGGCACACGAGGCGCAGCTGAGTGTTTCATTAATGTTCTTACCACATTGTGACGCTTTCTGGGCTTTATGACGAGGACAAGAAGAAGCACGTGACAAGTGTCTCACGAGGTGCAGAAGCACGTGACAAGTGTCTCACGAGGTGCAGCCGAGCGTGTCATTGATTTTCGTATCACATTTTGACGTTCTCTCTGGTCTATTCTTGAACAGATCCATGGCAATATGAAATTTATTGGTTTAAATTCATTTGAAACCCCTTTTAAGTAAAACGTTTTACCTTTTGTACAAGATCACACACATGAACTTCGTAATGGGCCTTGCTCACCATAGGCTCAGTGGTTGGGCATCGGAGCGCGGAATCCGAAGGTCTTAGGTCGAATTTTCATGATCAGAAATTTTTCTTTGTCCCACGCTTGTGACAAGACGAAGAACATCTTTCTCAAGATCACAATACTTGCACTAGACCACCTTTTGAAGTCGCTAACTTGAAAAAGTGGTCACGAATGAAAGATCAACAAATAGTTTACAGTCACAAACAAAGGTTCGTAAAACCAAAATCAAAGTAACCACAACGGCTGATCTCTTGGACGAGAAATGATTTCGGAAGGAGGCGTATTAAAACCGGATTAATGTCAGTATGCAACTACTGCACACCCACCCCTCCCTTAACCCAATAACGGTCAACTGACAATGACAAATAAGGGTTAGTTTAGGGTCAGAGAAGGGGTCAGCGCGCAGTTGTTCACATACATAAAAGAGATGACTCACCTAACTTTTGCATTCGCAACTGCAACTTCCATTGAGGGAGGAAAGATCCCATTCTCGTCCCACAAGCTTGAGGTGGCAAAATAAATGTGCTGAAAACAAGCTGGTACGAAGAAACTCACATTCAGTGACGATAAAGATTCATTCATAGCGCCACCATACATGTTGAGAGCAGATATATAATCTGCAGAGTACTCATCCGATGCTTTTCCTTCAGCTTCCAGTTTCTTAAAAACTTCACCAAACATAAAGATATCATACATGCTTGAGATCAAAAGTAAAGGGACGCTCGCAGGATAATACCCGCGCGCAATCATGCATGTTGCTGAAGGACAGCAAGTGTGACCAGGCGAATAATCTAAACATGCACGAGACGAAATATTTGCGAATGATGTGAACTTGGGATTCACCATGTCCCGGAGACTATCCTGAAAGTCGATAAACCAGGCCGAGTCGATTAAAGACAAAAGTCTGGCGTTGAAAGTATTTGTTTCCACCACATGCTTCAAAACCCAATCCGCGTGATTTAGAACACCAATCCCACCCGCGCTACTACCTGCAAGAATAATCTCTTCAGCGTCGGCCAAGTCATGATGCTGTAGCAGGTCCGCAAAAACCGAACGAAAAATCGTCTGTCCTCTAAAACTGAAGTTATCGACGAATGAATCGTTCACAAAACTGAACGGTTTGTTAGGATTAGTTTTCAAACCAAGCCACAGATCGCTGCTACAGTATGGGACGAGAACGTGATTGTATTGAAAGAACGCTGGGTTTTCGCTGCTAGACGCAGAGAGAAAATCTCGCCCAGTAACTCTATCAGGCAACATCTTCGAAGTCATCAACATCGTTGAATTTTTACTTAAGTAACGTCTGTTGCAGTCGGCGAAAGAGGAACAAAATCTGCCACTTTCGAAGAACACGATCCATTTCTTAGAAGCTTTCGTTCCAATATAAAATGTGGCTCTAGAATTGTCATTGCAGATGGCTTTAGGCTCACTGATGTATTTTTTGAGTAACTCACCGGTTGCCGTTACTGTGTTCGCATTCAAGGCACAAAATATAACGAAGAAAATATGAAACCAGCAAATATTTTCAGAAGTCATTTCAAATCAGTCGATCTGGGTCATTCCGTTACCATCACCACAATGCAAAATATTTAGAGAAACAAAGCTAAAAGTGGTTAGCCATAAGAAAGAAAGGGGTCATTAAAGACAATAGATATTGTAAAGACGACACGGAAATTGCGTTTTGAGTGGGCACAAAATACGTATGGTTACCATATTGTATCATGACTGTATTCACAGCCGTTGCTGTATAATGTTACGGTTTAAGTCTTCGGGCAGTAAAATACCTCACTGAAAAGGCGAAGTAAGGTGACTTTAAATAAGGAAAAAAATGATTTTTAAAGCTTGCAAGGCCATGAATAAGGAAAGCCTGGGGAGGTTAATTGTGAATGGACATTTCACAGATTACAAAATACGGGGCGCGTTTTTTTTTTCTTCTCTAAGACAATAGTTCATCATTGCCTGCGGGAAAACTCTGTTTATCATTCAACAAATGAACAATGACTTCTCTTTGATATTATCGTATTGTCCTCTTTATTTATAACGTGACACTCTAGATCTCGCTGTTGGTCAGAGCTTTGGATAAAAGTTACGCTTAACTTCCTTTTTCTTGATTCAAGTACATCCGAGTGCGTCATAAGAGGGTGTCTATGAAGTTCCCATCAAGGCACCCACGCTGAGATTCCAAACTGGGGCTTTCACGAATGAAAATAAAAACTGTTGATGCCCGATGATTAATAATGAACCCCAAAAGGAAAGAAAAATAAACTGTGTGCCTCAAGGACATAACGGGGACTCAATTCTGTTCCCGACTAAGAGCGACTTTCGTGGCATGGGGAGATTAACAAAAAATAATGAGCGACACGATAATTGCCTTCCGGGCTGCGACAAAAGTGTATTTCCGGTGTTGTAAAAGCTAGTTGCAAAAAGTTCTAGAAAGGACCTTTGACGATAAATGTTTTTTTTTTTGCTATTACAGCCGAAGTCCGTGACACCTTGTTACTTGTTACTTAAGGACATATTAGAACTCCCGCTGTGTTGCATAACTAAACAGATAGATGACAATGAAAGCCTATTCGTTAAACAGATTGTGGATAATTGTGTGCCATTTGTTAAAAACAGAATGGCACACTTAATATTAAGATATATCATAGTGCGATTATTGGTTTACCCGCAAATCAAACCGGCACAGTCCAGTGGATATTCTAATAATATAAAAGTTTGTAACAATTTATCGTTAACTACAGCATATTAACACGTTAACGGGTGCTGTGCAGCTTGGTGGGTGAGGCAACTGGCTACGAAGGGGTCTGAGTTCTCGCAAATGAGGTAGATATGTCATTGTCGCAGACTGGCGTGAGGCCGGAATCATCTTTCTTTGAAACAAAAGTGACACCTTTTTCTTAAAGACTGTCTACAGGGGTCAAGTACCACTGTTTCACTCGGCCCCACTTATTTGTATTATGTGGTTTTAGTAATTAGCATTTTGGCGTGTTATTGCATGCTCTAAGTGGCCATAACATGCGTGGCTGATGATGCATTCAGACTGTTAATTGACTTGCATGCCCTCAAAATATTTATCTAGAGGTAAGCGAGAAATAAGTATGAATTCGCTTAGTTTCGAAAGCTGCCATTACAGGCCTCATCAGTGTTGAATTCAGTCTCGTCACCCTTTTTTTTAACAGAGCCGCTGTAAATGGCAAATAAATAGCTGTACGCATACACCGTCTTCCCCTCGTTTCATAATTATAACGTTACAAAAATACTTCGTTTAAATATCGCGAGGGCTCAACGTATCTAATATTCTCTGAAAATTTCGGCTCGACCATTTTGCAAGTAGGGGTCGGGAAATGAAAATTTTGCGAGAAATATTTGGGCTTGTAAATAATTTCACCTTGGCAGAAACTCTACATTTTCTGATGGTAGATATTTCCTCGTCGAGAACAAAATTACCCGTGATTTATTACAACTCAGTATTAATCTCTTTATTCCGCAGTTCAAAAGTATGATGCGAACTGGTGACAATTGTGAGACTGCTCAGCGATAGTCTCGTCCAACGTTCGTAATAATCGTTTTCGTTAAAGAGCTAAAATGGTTCATTTCTATGTAACTGGATGTGCTAAGGAAATAAAATGCGAACAGCTGACATCAACCAGTTCAACAATGAACCGCCAACATGTTATGCGGGGGTAGAACTTGAATGCAAGGTTAGGCTGGGGGCTATAATCTAATCACTAAGTTGTAAGCATTGTAAAGTAAAGGGAAAATTCCTTAAGGAAAAAAAATCAGCCCATGGTGGCTTTAAAATTGAGCAAAGTCTTGGGAACGTTTTGGATCGAAGATGCAGTGGTTTCCATTTGCTTAAACACAACTTCTTAATATGAAAAGAGGAAAGATAATAACAATAAGATGTATTATATAGATACTGATGTTTAGGGTAAAAACAGCAATCTAACCTGAAAAAAATGTATTTATTCCGGCTCTTTCGGAAAATAACTTTACAAATCTTACTTGTTTATCTCGTAAGTAAACGATGGTGAAGCGCTTTCCGAGCTACCCGATTCTTCTCCCACTGCTTTCACGCTTATAAAACAGGAAACGAGCAAAAGGAGGAAGGTGTGGCTGTTTTGACTAGCCATTTGACGAGGTTCAATCTGCTCCTTGTTCGACAATTTACATATCAAAACAAAGGAAATTTGTTCCTCTCTTTGATTTTGGCGGTACATTTTCAATTTGCGCTTGCGTAAGAGAGAAATCGCCCAAGACTCCTTGCTCGGTCTTGTTTTGACCACGAACGCCTTCTTAATTTTGACGGACCCGCTCGGGAAAAGGTGAAAATGACGAGGGAAAAACTTTACTTTGTAGTACGAAAATACACAAAATGGAAAGCCATGATATTATAGTTCAATATTTCGGTGGTACATTGTTAACTTTTTATACAGAGAGTCGGCAAGATGATATAACATCCAAAAATCGCACTCGATTTGAGTGGGCCGATGAAGTGGGCGTGGTCACGAAATTCAGTAAGAGACTATTTGTACCCCGTGAGTTTGATATGCTATG